TTGCGTATTGTACGGGCCCAGACTGATCAGCTAGCACCCCGACTTCGGTTTACGATTTCGCCTCCGTCGAAGCCCGTATGGCCAAGGTACAGCACGCGGCGGACCACACTCAGTTACGATCTGCCCATATCTCCAAGGAAATGGCGATGAAAAGTCACGGGCCGACTCAACCCTAGTCCGTTTGGAACAAGAGCGCGAACACACACACACACACACACACACAATCAACGACCCCGAGACCTCGAGCGCAGGCTGGGCAGGTCTTCCCAGCGGACCCACGACACCAACGTCGATCTACGTGGTCTGCGTCAGAGTGCCCAACAGACGCAGCACAGCGTTACGACCAACGAATATACACTGACCTCACACGTCAGCAACACATGAGCTCCACCACCCACTTCCAGACCGTCGACCAGCTCCAATGCACGCCGATGGGGACATCCGCACAGGCCACATGCGACGTACATCGCCAGGCGCCGCCTCAGCTGCGGGCTCTTCGCAGACACGTCACGTTTCTCCTGTGCGACCTCTTTCCCCAACACAAAGGGTTCCTTCACATGCGTTATCTCGCGTCTCTGCTAACGCCACAACTCCGTTCAAGGAGTCGGACACAGTGCCCATGCCACAAGTGCCACGCACCATGCATCTACAAGAGTGGCAACATATGGTTCGCAACAACTTTGGCAGGGCCTGTGCATCCCAACGCGTCGCAGAACAACCCGCGACGAACTACCGGGACCTATGAGACAGCAGCGACTTCGAAAGTATCGACTACAAACTAGCAGCCGGATTCGCTGCTGTTCTGAATTCTGAGCTGCGCTACCGTATCAAGAACCTTAGAGCTCAGGAGCACGCGGCCGGCCGCGTGCTCAAAGGCAGACTCATCTATTGGACGATAATACTGTCCTACAAGGTCACCTCAGTCGACAACACCCTGCTCGACTTTGAACGTTTGCAACTCCCGCGCATGCGCGGCGATGACGTTTTACCCGCTCATTGTGGACTTGGGCAACTTATGATTGGAATGCCGCGAACCTCGCCACGCCAATATACTGGAATCACGCCGCGCCGCGGGGCCTTAGCGCTGCTCCTCCGGGGCCCCCCCGCGTTCTCTGCCGTGCACGCCGCTCTCGGGCACCCACGCTCCAGGGCGTGCTCCTCTCCCCTGCCGCACGCCCCGACTCCTCCCTCGCCTGCCTCTGCCGCACCCGAGGAGGCCCCGCGGCGCCCCACGGCGGCCTACGAACGCGGTTAGAACCCTCGCCGCCAACAGAACGCACGAATGGTTTCGGCAACGCGTTCTGGACACCCTCGAACTCCACCGACTTGAGCGCCACCAGCTCAACCTCAATAACGAATCGAACAGACGCGACTCTGTGAGTTGCGCAGCGCTCAAGTTTGGAAGGTGCAGGAAAGGGGACATATGCAAACTGTTACTTGCAGGCTCCAGCAGTCGCCCGACCTCGCGACCCACTCCGCGATCGCCTGCCCGTCATCGGGCCCCCTGCGACAGACGGCCTTGTTGCTTGCCGCTACGCTGGACCAGCGATGAAAGACAGTCCCCGGACCCTGCCTTAATTAAGATGGTTGTAATTACCCCCAGAAGCCAGCGTGCGCCTTCTACGCAGATCCGAAGCAAAACTGCGAGCACGGCGACCGGCGCCGCAACGCTCACATCATCGCCGATGCTGAGACTCCTGACCGGAGCCCTGTTCGGCAGCGCAGCAAGGGCAACCGAAGCAGGGCGCCCTCCCCGCGCTCGCACGGGGGGCAGGAGGCCGTCACCCTACAAGAACCGACGGCGCTCCCGCAGTCCGAGGGGCACGCGTTGGTAACGACGAGGGCCGCCGTCTCCACGGCGCGGGTGGCGCTCCGACTCGCGATTTCCCGGGGGTCACGGCTGGCCCCCCCGCCCTCCACATCGTTCCCGTTCATTGCCTGGGCCGTGGGCCTTCCCATCGGGAACCCTCCCGTGGCCGCTCTCCTACCAGGAGCGACGTGACTAGCAGTCGGCCCCCTTCCAGACACCGCGGCCGCTCGCCGTCTTCTCGGGGTCGTGTTCGGCCACCTGCTGCAGGCCGATGCGACCGACGACGCGATCGCGCCTATGACGCTCGGGAACGGATCATGATCCTGTCCGACTCAGCAAAGCGGGAGATCATAATTGGTTTTGACAGCGTGGACATTATTACGTACACGTTAAAACATACAATGTACATATGGACGGACTCATCCTAATGCAGAGGCGACAAGGTCGACGTCCCTGGCGTCTTACCTGATCGGTGGTTACAGGCTAGTGTGCGTGCGCTCCGTACAGCACAGGAAGATGCTAAGCGGTTGTAGGACGAAGTCAACTCACCGCCAACTCCAACTTACGCGTTGGTAGCAAGCCTACGCCGACGGCCCTGCGGTCTACGGCAGCGCTGTCACGCGCGTGGGTCTTGGATAGCGGCTCTGGCCATCACATCCAAGACAAGTCCGACCTGCTACCGCGCGCGACCACTCCGGCACGGCAAGGGCGAAACCACATCCTCGAGACAGCCAGCGGCGATTCAGGCGTCGACGAGCACATCAAGCTCACACTGCCGCAGATAGGCCTCTCCAGGTCGGCCATGGCCACGCGCGACCAACAACAGGTTCCGACGGCGGAGCCGGCGGTCGCACCTGCATTGCCGGGCAGACCACGTCCTCCCATCGATCCTTCGCACTGCATCACCCACAGCCCTATGCATCCAGCTTGTGAGATTGGCGCGCGGGTCCTGGTACACAACGCACCATGTCGGCGACAGCGCCGACCAAATCCACCTCGTGACCCGACCGCCGAGGACACTCAATATGAAGCTTTTGTACCACAACGATTTGGCGAGGCTCTGACTGCAGACCACATCGTACTCGCGACGGATGATGCAGCGGATAGGTACGGAGACAAGTGCGCTCTGGTTGTGTTGGGCATGTTTACGGGTGCAATTATGGCATGCCCAGCGAAGCATAAAACGCCGAAGCGACGAAGGTATCGTTCCTGGATTTTGTCGCGCCTAATGATGAGGCCAACAACATTTACACTGATAGTTCGGGGGAGCTACAAAAAGCATGCCGACAGTTGGGATGGCGACGTGATACCAGCACACCGCACCGGCCACAGACCAACGGCATGGTCCGGGGCTTAAGAGACGGGGGTCAGTGCAAACGGGGGTCAGCCAAGGCACCGGATCCTGCAGGATCCTGCGAAGACCCTCTCTGGTTGACCCAGGTTAGCGAGCCGCTCGTGGCCGCGAGGCGGCCGCGCATATTGGCTCATCAGGTTTTGCGCAGACTTGCAGTGCAGTTTTTTGAACTGCGTTGCAGTCTTCTGGTTTCCTGCTCACCTGGGTCTGGAGTGACCCGGGTCAGAAGATCCCCGATGGCAGAGAGTGTTGGTAAGTGTGTCATACAGGGCACACGAGCTGTACTCCACAAGCCAGGACTTGGTGGACAGCGTCATGAATGGTGGAAAGAGACTATGTAGGCATGGTGTTGTGGCCGCCATTTCACTACCCGACCGTGTCACGGATTTGCTGCAGTCTTGGATGCATACACATATTTCTCTTCGCACGAAGCTCACTTCGGATAATCTTTCAAAGGGCACACTGTTCCATTTTGTATTTGTATCTTTTGGACATGTCTCAACCAGGACCTCAACAAGTCCGCGGCGAAGTTCGACGAGACTACTCGAGAACGTTTGTTCATGGGCTACCACCTTCGCTCTGGTGGGCGATGGTCTGGCGACTACCTCGTCATTGACACGGCTACCTACGTCAAGAAACCGGACGGGGAACACTGCCATGTTCATCGTGTCGAGAACATTGTGATTCCTGACGGGAGACCGTTTTTTCCTGTCCGCGAACGTCCGCTACGACACCACAGCCCAGAGAAACACGAGTTGATCTCGTTCCAAACCTCTCGACCTTTGGGTGTCCTTGCGCAGGACGATCCGATTCTCCTGTACCCAGCATGGTGGGATGACCCTAGTCTCTCGATTCCTACTTCTCCGAGGCTCTCGGCTCCGGGGGGCCGCCTCTGGAGGCACCTGAACCTACGGCTCCAGTTCCCGAGCCAGACTATTGGGAACAGCGCGGTGAGGCGATCTTACGCCACATTCGTACACACGCATGCTGGCGGAAGGGTGCCACCAAACCTCTCGGACACCGACCTCGCATCACGAACGCTCCCCCTTGCGGCCCTCCCTGCCCCCAAAGCTCCCTAACACGCCAACTTCGACTACCATCGCCAACGGCTCCAGCCCTCCCGCGCTGACCCTGTAGGCAATGTAGGCCCCCTCGCCGGTGCGCCCGCTCGCTCGACGATCCTCCTCTTTCTGGTTTCTCGTCTGAGCGCTCGCGCCCCAACCCAGAGCGACGGGCGCAGGCTGGAGTCTTGCATCCGCCAGCCGCTGCAGTGCGCGCAGCGTCGCCCAGCACAGCGCACCGGCGCCGAGACTTCGCACCTGCTGCAGTGCAGCGTTCCCGTCTGGGCGGATCAGGGTCAGAAGCGCCGCCTGCCGCGTCGTAGGGGCCCTGGTGCCGATCGATGTCCACAGCCCTTCCCTCCCTCCCTCCCTCCTCCTTTTCCGTCTCCCTTTCTCCCTCTGTCCCTCCTCCTCGTCATTCTCTTCCTCCTCCTCCTCCTTTTCCTCCCCCTGTTTCTCCTTCTCCCTCCCTCTCTCTTACCCCTACGCAGTGCGGGCCACGGCGGTCTTCTTCGCGGAGCCCGCGACGCGCCGCGCGCGGCCCGCGCGGTGCGACGCCTGGACCTTCACCCCACCTCGAGGCCTCCGAACGGCCTCGGAATGGGGAGGGCCTCGGGGAAAAAACCTCAGGACCCCAAGAGCCCCCGCCAGAAAACAAAGAGGGGGGAGCCTCAGAGGGCCATTCCTCTTTCCATCCCTCTCCTCTTCCTCCTCCTCCTCCTCCTCCTCCTCCTCCTCCTCCTCCTCCTCCTCCTCCTTTCCCTCCCCCTCACAGGTGACGTCCGCCCTCGGTGGCCTCGACGTGCTCCAGAGCGTGCAGGAGCGGACCCGTCACCCTCCGCTTAAGTCGGGCAGTTCCCTGCGCATGTCGAATATTCAATACACTAAAAATAGTCTGGTGACGATTGTTCGTGCTTTTTGAAAACAGTGTTTCGGACTATTTCTTGTCTATTTGTTATGATTGTCCAAAATCCGCTTATAGGATGACATGCCCGATCTGACCCTGCGCGCCGCCGCCGTTCCACAGGGGCCCAGGGTAGCCCTCTCCCCGTCTAGGGCGATCCGCATCGCGGGGAGGTCACGGGAGCCTTGTACACTCTCGCAATTCTTCCACAGCGCTGATCGGTGTCCACAGCTCTTCTCTCCCTTCATTCCTCCAATCCTCCCTTCTCCTTCTCCCTCCCCCCTCTCTCTCTCTCCTCCTCCCCCTCCTCCTCCTCCCCCTCCCCGTCGAGGGTGTTCTGCCTTGGGGGGGAGGGTAGAGGGATTCCGTAGCAAGTCACGGGAGCCTTTTACAGCCTCGCAATTCCATCTCTAGAGTGCACCAGCGTCGATGAGTGTCCCGTAGTCGATGGGATGGCACCGATGAGGCGTCGATCGGTGGGAGCCTTGCACACCCTCGCAATTCCATCTTTAGAGTGCACCGGCGTCGATTAGCGTCTGGTACTCGATGAGAGGGCGCCGATGAGGCGTCGATCAGCGTGGATTCGCAGGGGACAACAAGATGGCATGTGAGGCTCCCATGCGTTGCCACCGAAGAGGATGTGGGTCAGAGGAGGAAATGATCCCGGTACCGCTAGCCCTTTCCTCGTTTCCACGGCTGGATTCGATGTGAGGTTCTGGTCAAAGCGCACCCATGGAGAGGTCCTGGGAGTAGCGGCACTGGCACCTTCCCTGGATGGAGGGAGAATGAGGTGAGGGAGCAGATGAGTGCAGAATGATCGAGGGAGGGAGGATGTGAGGGAGGGAGAAGGGAGGGAGGGAGGAGGAGGAGGAGGAGGGCGAGGAGAAGGAGGATGAGCGGAAGACGAGAATGGAGGAAGGAGGGATGGAAAGGAGGGATGGAGGAAGAAGGATGGAAGGTCTCATCCACCCTCCTCCCCTCTCCTCCTCGTTCTCCTCCTCCTCCTTGTGCTCCCTTCTTCCCTTCTCGTTCCCTCCCCCTGAAGCCTCGTCGGCTCGAGCAAGGCAAGTCCCGACTTGCTGTGCCTGGGCTCGTGCGTGACGGTTCGGGGTTGTACCAGATGTTTTAGCTTGAGGGTCGTTGGATGGTCCTGACAGTCCAGACCGAGCTTAGCAATCTTCTCAGCGTCTTGGTTTCGCTGGCACCGTGCATGCGCATCTTCATGCCCGACGGTTTGCTGACCAGCGAGCTTCTAGATCGTTTCGCCCCTTTCATGGCGACGTCATTGTCATCAAGGCCTCCAACTACGACTGCCTGCTTGCGGTGGCGTGAGTCCATGTTGGTGCAGACCACGCTTGGTGTGCGCAAAGTCATGTGCCCACCGGCTTCCCTACAGTCGCCCCTGGCACATGGAGTGGCAAGCCTGCCTACGGGAACGGCTTCGGATATTCCGCCGCCACCATGCCTACCCCGGGTGGAGCACCTCAGGACCTCCAGGAGCGCCGCGAGAGGAAAAAATTCAGATCCAAGGGAAAGTACAACGTGCATATGCGCAACGACATGCACACGAGGAAGCCCCTGCATGCTGACGACACGGAGAAGATCGCAAGGCACGGGGCTCCGATGCCTCCGCCGCCGGGGGTCTGTGATGTGCCGAGGGATTTGGAGTGGGTGGTCCTGCCGCAGTTCGCCGCTGGGCCAGAGACCGAGCCTTCCGACTTCATTGTCGACACCTCCGCCGCCGCCGTCGAGGGCGCCTGTCTTGACACCACCGAGAAGGATCAAATGTCCGAGGCTGCCGCCTCCTCCCCGATAGGGGGCGCTTCACATTTCTTCATCGGCGACGGCGATGCGGCGGCGGCTCGCAAGGCCAAGAAGAGGATCAGACGTTTGCAGAAGAAGGATATCAGGCAGGAACGCATTATGAATGAGAATGATGCTGCTTGTTTGAGAAGTCCCCGGGGGCGCCAGTGGTTGCCGGTGAGCTCGACGCTCAACATGATGGCGCTGGCGGGGCTGCTGGAGTTGGCAGCGTCTTGGCGCTTGCGCCAGATGGGCTTGGTGGAGGTGAAGCGGCCGGTGGCACTACTGAAACGCAACGCTCGGAAGCAGTGCCTGAATGCGCTGTGCCTGGCGATGGCGGGGCTCCTCTGGTCGCGGCGACCAGCAACGCGCAGCCGTGTAACCACGCGGTCGAAGTCTGCAGAAGCTCTGCGAAGGCGAGCTCTGCTCGCGCGCGGAGTTGGGCAGGCAGGGGAGGCTCTCGATCGCGCAGACGAGTGCGCGAGCTCGTTGTGAAAAAGGCCCGCCGGTATGCTCAGCGCTCCAAGTGCGCTACCGCCGCAGGGGTCTTCACATCCACTGCTCCCTGTGGCATTCGCTCCTCCGGCTCTCCGTCGACCAGTACGGCCTCGCGTGCCCGCCTTTTTCCCTGCTGGGCAATCTCTTCGGAAGCTCGACGGGCAGCGGTCCACAGCAGCACAAGTCCTCGATCCCTCGACCTTTCTCTCCTTCTCCTTACTCTTCCTTGCTGCTCCTCCCTTCCTCGTTGTTTCGTTCTCGCCGCATCCACTCTTAGGATCCACATTCCCCACACAGTCCTCACCGTACCATCCACGTCCTACCTATTTTTCCGTCTCTCCGCCTCCCTCCTCCTTCCATTGCCCGCCCACCTTCCTCATCCCCCACCGTCTCCGAACTCCTTCCTACTGCCGCTCATCTTTCCCCACATGTATTTTTAGTCGTCCCCTTTTCTGTTCTCATCTTCATCCCGCCTCCCTCCAAACTCCATCTTCCTTCCTTCCCTCCTCCCTGCCTTCCCTCCTTTCCTCCGCACCCTCCGTCATCTCCCACATCCTGTCCCTCGCTCCTCTTTCTCCAGCATCCTGCTGCATCCTTATCCCTCACCCCCTCCTCCACAACTTGACTATACGAACGCATCTCTTCTCTCGCGAGCGAAATGATAATACAGTGGCCCTCCCCCCTTCACGTGCAGTTCTCTTCAACACGCAGGATTGCAGCAGTTGTTTGTCTTCTGGTGTTTTTTATCATCATATTGATTCTGGTGCTTCAAGCTCGTACTTCCGTCTCAGCGCGGGCCTGATTTTCCGATCGGCGCTTTGCTACCGTGGTTCAGAATCGCTCTCTCTCCCGGGCGCGGGAAATTTTTCTGGACCCGAGTCTAGCTTGATAACGGCGCCCCCTCATTTCCCCTCCTCCGCCTTCCCCATGATCCTTTTGTTTCTCCCGCTCTTTCTGCTCCAGTTCCCGCCGTTCGTCTTGCCCCAGCGAAGGCTACTTTTGTGAATGCGAGTCTTTCTTCATCGTTGCCGCCCCCTTGTATGCCCTCTATCTTCCCCTGAGTGTCTTTCTTCCCCCTGTCATTCCTCACTAGTTCCTGCTGCTGCTGCTGCTGCTGCTGCTGGTCGTCGGCGCCCTTCTGCTCCCGCTTGTCCTCCTGCTCGCCCGCCACCCCCTCCTTTACACGCAGCTCCTCTTTCGTCCGATTGCGCATATCACGGGGTGGCCTTTCTGTGGGAGTCGCGGGTCGGCTCTGACACGCGTCTTCGGATAATGAAAACTTCAGCGCCACAAGAAGGGATCGGAGCCAGGGTAAGGATGTCAGACGAGGCGCGAGCGCACCTCGCTTGGCCATCCCCCTTGCCTTCATCCCTCCTCCTTGTCGGCGCCTTGCACCGTCCCCACCCCTCGCCTTCCTCTCCCTCGCCTTTCTCCGCCCTCCCCCTCGACTTCCCCTCTCCCTCTTTCCCAGCCTCCTCCCCCGATGGCTCGACAAGAGGCTCTTCCTGGTCGGGGCCACGGCCTCCACGCCACGCCCTGCGGGGCACGGGCGAGCTCCCCAGTGCAGCACGCACGACTCGGGCGTTCGCTCCCCTTCGCTTCGCTCCTCGTCGGTGCCGCCTCTTTGCCTCCCCTCCTGGGGCAGTGGCGAGAGCCAGCCGCGCTCAGGAGCACCATTGGCACATGGTGCGTCAGTTGGTCGTGGGCCCCAGCGGCGTCGCCGCAGAGGTGTCGTCCTTTCTGAGGCTGGCGACGAGGGGAGGGATGGAGGAGAAGGGGGGGCGATCGAATCAGAGTCGAAAACATGCGCATAGACTTCCAGGTTTCCGAAAGTTCATGGTAATGCAGTGCTGTGATCCTGAGGGGTGAGGGAGAGGATCGCACCACAGCCCCTGGCTGGCATGCTCGTGCCACGTGCATCTTAGCCCGGTCTGCATCAGCAAACTGTTCAGATCCCTACCCGCAAGGGCGGCATTTGGGAGGACTGGTCGAACCACGGACAGTCGCTCCAGTGTTTTGTTTGTCCCGCGAAGGTATCGAGGCTGCCACAGCTGAGAAGCCAACGATGGGAGTCTGAAGGCTCTCCCGACATACGAGAGCTAATGACCGCCAGAAGTGCTGTGTTTGCGAGTGACCTCAGTGACAGCCAGTGGCGCCTCTGGATTTGCGCGAGTGGGTAAGGGAAGGGATGGATGAGGGAGGGGACATGCGAGGAGGGAGGCGCGGGCGGAGGAGGCAGAGGAGGAGGTGAACGAGGATCACTTCGGCGGGCGCCCCCATTGCTGCAGAGGGAGGCGCCCTGAGCAGGGCGGCAAGACCAGACAGTGGAAGGACGTATTCAACGATGGCCCGTTGCGAGAAAAAAAGGCCCCTCGACCCGGATGTGTGGTGAACACTGGTGCGCGTCGGGTCGCACGGGCAAGGGGGGTTCCGAGCGAGAGCCCCAGTCTGCAAGGGAGCTGCCCTCCATCCGTGGAGGTGCTGCAAATGCTTGCGCGCCTGGAGGCGAGGGTCATTGCGAAGGGGGGATCAGTCAGAACGCCAGATCCTGCAGGATCCTGTGGAGCCAGGGCTGCGCTGACCAGGTTTTGCGTGTAGGATCTCGCAGGATCCCGCAGGATCGTGCGGGATCCTACAGAGCCTGATTGACCCGGGTTGCATTGACCCGGGTCAGTGCGTCTTTGATTCAAGCGTGAGATACATTTTGAAAGAGAGCCGTCTTTGTAGCCGTTTCGCAGTGTTTCACTTCGGGTCGTAATGTTCGAAGACGTCTTAAGCGCGAAGTAAATTTTGACAATGAGTTGCCCTCCACCCTCGTGACTGGCGGGAGCTTCAAACGAATATGCACGTCGCTACGGCGAGAGCAACATTTTGAACGTTCGATCTCCTTCCACCCTTGTGACGATCGGGACATGCGAAGCTGCTCTCGGGCGAGAAACACGTTTTGAAATCAAGTTGCGTTCCGTGCGTGTAAGTGTTAGGAACGTTACGGGGTCTTGAGGTGAAACGCCCGGATTGCCTCGCCGACACGCACGATGGTTCGACGAGGAAGAATGTTCATGAGGAAGTGGCACCATGGCGAAGGAGGAACAAGTGGTTGAGGCAGGCGAGAGGGATGGAGTAGGCGGAGGATCCGTCTCCATCGTTCCTCCCCACCTCGTCTTCACTCTCCCTCTGTTCCTCATCCGTCCTCTTCCTCATCCCCCCTCTTCTTCCTCCCTCTACCCTTCGGAGGAGGAGACGGAGGGGGTGGGGGAAGGATGCGTGGGGGAGGGGAAGGGAGAGGGGAGAGAACGGAGGAGAAGGAGCAAGACGGGTCCCATGTCGAGCAGCCGCAGCAGTAGCAAGCGGATTGGAGAGAGGGGGATGTGGAGGAGGAGGGGGATGATATTGATGCCTCATGATCAGTTCCCGACCTCGCGCATATTTCTAATGTATTTCCGCCACTTGCCATAGGCCATACATTGTTTAGTCAGAGTGAGGGGGCCGAATAGTCATTCACTGTCCATGGGTGCGTGGTTGAAGCGGGATTCCGCGATGCGTATGTTTGCTGGTGTTGTTGGTGGTGGTGGTGTTATTGTTGTTGTTGTTGTTGGTGGTGTTGTTGGTGTTGTTGTTGTTGTTGTTTTTGTTGTTGGTGTTGTTGTTTTTGTTGTTGTTGTCGTGGTTGTCGTGGTTGTTGTGGTTGTTTATTGTTGTTGTTGGTGTTGTGGTTGTTGTTGGTGCTGTTGCTGTTGAACTCTCACTTCTGAAGAATAATTTTTGTTGACCCCCCCCGTCCGGTGCATATTATTTTCGAATGAAGTGCCCTTCCCGGGGCTCGCACCTTGTTTTTTTATCAGGGAAAGTCTTGAGGGTCAAACTGTGTTGTTGGCCCCCGGTTTACAAGAACAACGGCTCCCGCCTGATATTTCCTCACAAGTTATTGAAGAATCGCGCTCTCGCTTGGGACTTCCTTGCAATTTACCACCGGATCGCGGCTCCCGCTTGATATTTCTTCGCAATGTGTTGAAGAATCGCGTTCTCGCTTGGGACTTCCTTGCAACGTACCACCGAATCAAGGCTCCCGCTTGATACTTCCTTACAATTTATTCAGATGCCGCTCCTCGACACTCAGGAATGGCGCTCCCGCTACATATTGCCTGTCGGCCCAAGCAGAATCTACGTTTCAACGCCCCGCCCGCTCGACCCGCCCGTCTGGCCCTGCCCGCCCGACCAGCCCGTTAGGGACTGCAGTCGCCGCTCGCTGCCCTTCGCTGCCTTCGATGCCCCTCGCTGCCCGTACTGGTTCCGCGGTCGCCTTCGCTCGCTGCCCTTCGTGGCCCTGCTGCTGCCCTCAGTGGCCCCGTCGCTGCCCATTGTGGCCCCGCATGTATGCCCTTCGTGGCCCCCGCTCGCAGTCGCCCGTCGTGGCCCCATACGCATGCCCTTCGTAGCCCCGCTGTCGCCCTGCGTGGTCCTCTCGCTGCCCTTCGTGGCCCCTTTGCTGCCCTCAGTGGCCCCGCTGTCGCCCTTTGTGGCCCCATAGAAGAATGCCTTTCGTTTCGTTTTCAAGGGCCTCACCAACCACACGTGGCAGGGAATGAATATACCTCCTAAAAGGAGGTACGATCGAAGACGAAGAGGGCGGGTATCCAGGGTCTTGGGATATGCATATTGACACGCGAGCTGCAGCAGATATGAGCGAACAGTCTCAACATGATTGTTGTTGTTGCTGCTGTTGCTGTTGCTGTTGCTGTTGCTGTTGCTGTTGCTGTTGCTGCTGTTGTTGTTGTTGTCGCAGATGTTGATGTTGTTGGTGTTGTTGTGTTTGTTGTTCGTTGTTAGTTTGTTTTTGTTTGTTGTCTGTCGTCGCCCCCCCCGCGACCCTGCCGGCGACCCATCCGCGACCCGCCCCGCGACCCACCCCCGACCCACCCGCGACCCACACGCGACCCAGCCCGCGTCCCACCCCGCGACCCACCCGCGACGCACCCCGCGACCCACCCCGCGACCCACCCGCGACCCACCCAACGACCCACCCGTGACCCACCCGCGACCCACCCGCGATCCACCCGCGACCCACCCTCGACCCACCCGCGACTTGGCCCGCGACCCACCCGCGACCCACCCCGCGACCCACCCCGCGACCCACCTTGCGACCCACCCACATTGCTTTAACGAACAAATCGACGTAATTTGTTCACCTCAGGCATAATTTGTTAAACTCAGGCGCATGCGGTGGACTTCTTCAGTGCCTCGCAGACTGACGACGTCCTCGCCCCCCCCTGACTCTTATCCGCAACTGCGGGTTGCTACGAATTCGTTTCCTGTACTTCTGACTGCGGCGCGTTTGGTGGGTGGATCCTGCCGTCGGAGGCCATGCTTCTCGCCTGCTGGCTGTATTCGCCGCGCACTGATTTCAGCGCCTAGGGTCCTCAATACGCCGCTTCAGATCACTGTCCGAAGTGCTCCCGGGTATCTGAGGCTTCTCGGCCCCCACCCGTCCCTCCCTTATTTCTCGCCCTCCCAGATGGGGTAGGAGCAGATGTGATCGGAGGATCGCGCCGCATTGCCGATGCTTCGCCGACGGAGCTCGATCTGGAGCCCGGTTTCCTCCGCGCCGTCGTCGCCAATGCACCGCCGACATTGGCGATGCATTGGTGATACGGTGCGATCCTCCGACCCCCTCTACTCGCACCCCTATATGGGAGGCCTCTGTCCTTCCCCGACCACACCAGGGGTGCGGCCTGCGCAGCAGGAGAGCCTGTGTCCACTGGGGCCCCCCACGAGCAGCCGCTCTGCGCGTGCACGGTCTCGCTTCGAGCGGCCGCCCGCGCGTCGGCCACGGCGTTCGACGCCGCACTCTCTCCCGCCTTCCGCTGGCCCCAGCTTGCGGTGGTTCAGCTTCCCTCGCCATCTTGGTACAGCGACGGGTTGCGCACAGACCCCCCCCCAGGCAGTCTCAGTTGGCATCAACAGGCCTCCCGAGTAGTCCCGGCTGGCCTCACCAGGCCCCCCGAGTAGCACGGGGCGATCTCAACACCCCGGCGCCGCCTCTGGCGACGCCCATGGGGCGCTCCGCGCCCCAGGGTCGGGGTGTTGATGCCGCCCCTGGCTACTCGGGGGGGCTGTCGCGGCCAGCTGGGATTACTCAGGGGACCTGCTCGGGGGACCTCCTGATGCCATCCAGGACTACCCAGGGGGGCTGTCTGTGCGCAATCGGAAGCCTTACCATTCCCCTCGCCAGCACACGTGCAGTCTCGTCCCTTCCCTTTGGCGCGCAGGCTGCCATGCGGCTCATGGCTGCCCGAGCCTGGGCGTTGGGGCACAGGTTCGGGGCGGGGTGCGCATCGACCCCCCATCGCCTGTTGATCGACCCCCGCAAAGGACAGTGAGGCTTCGCTATCGGGGGCCAGTCGCTGATCCATCGGCGATGTATCTCCCTTTCCAGCTGGATGTTTCCTGCCTGGCCTGTCCCCCCCCCTAGCGTTCGCCCTCAATATTTGAGTAAAGAATCTACTACCTGATGGATTTGACCTGTATGTCTCGACGAGGCAGTCATTTTTGGGGCAGATCAATTCTGTAGTCGATCCCCTACTCTAAACATCGGAGCGCCGTCGCCAGCTCCCCCGCGGGCCTTTCTCCGAGGTGCCAAGGCAGGACGCCACATCGCGCCGCGGCTCTGCCCCCGCAGACGCCGCTGGCGCCGGCGGCTCGGCATCTGTCCCCCGTGTTTGGCCCCCCAGGCCGCCCAAGGGGGGTCCGAGTGGATGGTGTCAGAGGATGTCGCCGCGTCGCCAATGCGCAGGCTGTGTCGGTGCGGCTGGTTCGCGTCGTGTCGACCGGCGGCGACCCCAGCGCGTCGACCGCCTGTGGCCCAGAATCGGCCCATCCTTGACCGATCCGGTCTTTTTGAAAGGGCCGATCGTTCAAGTTTGAACGATCCCCGCGATGTCAGGAACCAGCGCTGGGGTCGACACGACGCGAACCTGCCGTAGCAAATCATGCGAGCCTGGTATGCCCACTCAATTGCGTCTTTAGCGTCGACTAGCGTCGATTAGCGTCTGGGAGTTGATGAGATAGCGCCGATGTAGCTTCGGTCAGCGTCGAGGGTCGACTCGCAAGAGCCGACAAGATGGTATGGGAGGCTCCGATGAGTTGCCATCGAAGATATGGTTAGCGGATGTCGCCGCGTCGCCAATGCGCGGGCTATCTGGCGCGACCTGGCGTCACGAATGGCGCAAGCCGCGGGACTGGTCTTCCTCCTCGCCCTCTGGCCGCAGCTAGCGCGCGCCCGCCCATTACGGGCCCGTTGCAGGCTCCTGGCAGTCCGTGTTGCGCGGCAGCGGGGAGGGGGGAAGGGACCGGGAAAAGCGAGCAGACGACGGCGGACGCGCAGGCAGGAGGCCAGGGCCAGCGGGACGAAACAGGCGGGCGGGCAGGTGCTCGTTTTCTTACTCATTGTTTTGCGCGGGCCTTGCCCGAACCCCCTCCCCCCCTGCAGCAGGTCTTGGGCGTTTTTTGGCGCCCGTTTCGAGCAGGTGGAGTCTCCCCCGTAGGACGCACTGCTGCAAGCAGTCGCATTAAGCAAAGGTCCTGAGCCAGACCCCCCCCCCGCCCAATGTCGACACGCCGAAAAAAACGCTCCCAAGGTTGGCGTCATCATTCCCCCGTCACGGAGTCGCCGATGCACCGCCGATGGATCGACGATGGATCGGCGATGCAGCGCCCGTGTTTGGGCGGCTTCCGATATTGTCCGTGGATTGGGATGAATGCTCGGGCCACGCGCTCGGGTCTCCCCGCCATTGCGAACGACAACGGTCCAATCCCGCAGCATGGGGGTGGAGAGGGCGGGGGTGTTTGGGGCAGTGGCTAGAGCACGGGCGTGCATCGGGAGCAGGAGAAGGGGGCGGAGGAGAATGGAGGTGACGATGACGTTGATGTTGGTGTTGCCTGTGGTGATGAGATGGCAGTGCTGCTGGTGGTGTGAATGTTGCTGGGAAGATCAGGGTGACGATGGGGGGCATGGTTATGATGATGATGGCGCTGGTGATGATGATGATGATGATGATGCTGATGATGATGATGATGCTGATGCTGTTGCTGATGATGCTGATGCTGATGATGATGGTGGTAACGATGTTGCTGGTGCTGTTGATGATGATGGTGGTGATGATGACGATGCTGATGATGATGCGAATGATGATGATGCTGATGATGATGATGATGATGATGATGATGATGATGATGATGATGCTGATGATGACGATGATGATGATGGTGGTGGTGATGATGATGATGACGATGTTGATGATGATGATGATGATGATGCTGATGCTGATGTTGATGCTGATGATGATGATGATGATGATGATGATGATGATGCTGATGCTGATGCTGCTGCTGCTGATGATGATGATGATGATGATGATGATGATGATGATGACGATGATGATGGTAATGATGCTGATGATGACCCTGATGACCCTGATGATCATGATGGCCCTAATCTTGGTGGGGGCGACGATCACGATTCTCATGATGGTGGGCATGGTGATGGCGAGCGTGATGGCAATGTCAGGGATGTTGCCGACAGTTGAGGATAGTGGTGAGGGCAATGAGGCCCAGGATGAGCAGCCCCCGGATCGAGGGGAGGAGACAGGAGCGGGGAGGCGAGGAGAAGGGAGGCGGCACGAGGAGGCAGGAGGAGGCCAGCGGGACGACGACGAGGGGTCCGCTCAGGCGCAGAGGCTTCCAAGTGGAGGAGCAGCCCGGCACCGATGGCCAGCCCGCGCGGGCCGCCTCCCTCTTGCGCCCTCACTCGGCGGCGTGTCGGCGGCTAGCGAGGGGGGGAGTTTCGGGCTCGAGGTTCAAGGTTTTCGGGCGTCTTCGTCGGTTCTCGGCGGTTGTCCAGCCCCGAGAAGCTTGCCAACAGTTGCGCCTCGACGAGGGCGTTCGGGGGGGGCCCGGATCGTCCCGAATGGCCGCGGGAGACCCGAGTTGTGACCCAAAAACCACATGCGCCGGCGCGCCCGGGCGGCAGCAGGCAGCGGCGCTTCTCAGAAGGCCGGAGGCCTTCGAAGCCTTCCGAGAAGGCCCGCTCCTTCTCACTTCCCCTCCAGGTGCGCCGCCGACTCACGGCGCGGTGATCGAGGTCGAAAAATTTGCATAAACATATTATCGGGGCTCCGCGCGAATTTCTCGGATCTGCGCTGGGTCCCCCTTGGTGGCGCCTCCAGCGCTGCCTCTGGAGCGCTCCGCGCGCCAGGAAGGAGGGGGGGAACCTGAGCAGATCCAAGAAATTTGTACGGACATCCGAGAGTTTATGTTTGTGCTTATACTAACCGCTTCGCTCATTCCGCCGGCCCTGGAGCTCTATTTGGGGCCTCTTGGGGGCCTCTTGGGGCTCATTGGCGGCGTCTTGGGGGCCCCTGGGGCCTCTTGGGGGGCTCTTGGGGGCCTCTTGGGGCGGGAGGGGGAGGTAGTCGATTGCGGCTCCCCCCTCTGAGGCCACGAACCTCGTGAGGGGTGTCAAAAAATGACCCTCCCCTGGGGCGTTCTTGGGGGATCGCCCGGGAGTGGACCTGGACCTGGCCGGTGTACTATTCGTCCGGGGGCCCCCAGGGGCCGCCCCGCGCGCGTGAATTTGAAATATTGTTCACCAGTTGCCGGAGATCTTAGCACGCCTGTGGCCCGTTGGGCCGGCGAATTAATGTATTTTTTATGGAGATTGGAGATTCCAGAGAAGTCGCGGCGGAGATTTTTTGGAGATTGGAGATTCCATAAAATCGCGGGGGAGATTTTTGGGGGGTTCTCGGGCGGCGAGTTTGCCATAACCGACCCAGTCTAATTCTAGAAGGAAGGAAGTCCGTGCGGAGCTCCGGGAGTTATGCTTTAGGTAGTTTTTTCTTCCAGGGGCGAGGGTTTGGATGCTCGAAGTGGGTCACCGCGGAGGTGCTTCAATGATGGGGGCCCTCCCCCCCCCCGAAGCTCTCGGCTGAGAACAGTCGTCCCTCCCCTCCTCGCCCCTCCCCCCCTCGCCCTCCTCCTCGCTCTCGCTCCTCGCCCCCCTCCTCGTGCTCCCCTCCTCGCCCCCCCCCCTCGTCCTCCCTCTCCTCGTCCTTCCCCTCCTCGCCCTCCTTCTCGCTGTCCCTCCTCGCCCTCCTCGTGCTCCGCCCCTCGCCCTCCTCCCTCTCCTCGTCTTACCCCTCCTCGCCCTCCTTCGCGCTGTCCCTCCTCGCGCTCCTCCTTTTCCCTCCCCTCCTCGCCCTCCTCCTTGCTCTCCCTCCTCCTTCGCTCTCCTTCCTCGCCCTCCTCGTGCTCCTCTCCTCGCCTGCCCTCTCGTCCTCCCCCTCGTCCTCGCCCTTCCCCTCCTCGCCCTCCTCCTCGCTTTCCCTCCTCGCCCCCCTCCTCGTGCTCCCCTCCTCGCCCACCGCCTCGCGTTCACTCCTCGCCCACCTCCTCCTCGCGCTTGCGGGCGCCACGGATTAGATTGTCGCACTATTGTCCGCTTGTGGGTTTCGGTTGGGTGGTTATTTCTCATGGTGAATGTTGCTCCCTGCTCTACCCTGTACAACAGAGGAATTGTCTGAGCTTGTTTCCGCAAGGATTGCAACATAGTTAGCTATATCTCCAATCGAGTTGGCGCGTTGTCTTCCAAATTATGGGGATCGCGTGGCCACTCGTGCGTAGTAAGAGCTCGCCACAGTTGTGGTGAGACCTGAAGACACCTGTGTACACACATGAAGGAGTCACAACGGCGAAGCAGGGAGTTCAAGTGTACATCGCCTGGTAAACCCACCTGGCGAATCGCCAACGGATCCATAGCCCCGACACCGCGTGAGACAGCAGCACTAGACAGTCCCGATTGTAAAGGCGAACGTCCAATACCCCCCACCCCGTTGAACCCCCGCGCCACGACAACATGCGTTACGTGCAACATATTGAAGCCGCAGGCTCTGGCCCTGTTCGTGCCTCGCATAGATTCGCCTCCCGCGACGCACGCGGGACGATGGAGCATGGCTGCACGGCATTTGCACCTTTTGCATGAAAATCACATTCCGTTTGCATATGTGGCGAAATGGAGGACCAATGTTGCCTGCCCAGGGGAAACGAGAATAACACACACCTTACAATTCGTCAGCGTCTAAGAATATCGAACACGAAAACAGCTATGAGCAGGTTGAAGCAGTTAAAGAAAGAGTGTTGATGTTATCCGCCAGGATGTTTACAGTTGACTATATGTAAACACGTGTTTAGTGTGTAAGGCAGGAAAGTTCGTCAACGTAACGCCTGGTCATTTCCTATTTACAATGTGGCATTCTCCTGACATCCTGCAAGTGTACATCATTTCGTGAGAGGGGAGAAGGCGATGGTAAGTACAAACTATTCGCGGAGCGTCGTCGCATGACCCCACATTATGAAGTGATCGCTGGCCACCCGCGCGTGAGACAACATTTGACCGCAAAGCGTGCTTCGATGCTTCGTTGGTAGGGATTGTATGGGGTAAGTTGTCTGGTGTTGGTATGGGCCTGGGTTGCGCGCCAGTTGGGTGGGAGAAGGCATGTATATGAGTAAGGAGCAGTGATCAAGATACCCTCCTGGATGGCAAGCGGAAGGCGGCAAGCTGTTTCGCTCATTTCCACCCGCCCTCCCAACACAGGAAGCATCAGAGCCTAGGGCCCCGATCCCAGTGGTGTCATGATGCGGGATCTTGCTCCTTTCCGCACCCTGCGTGGGCTGTTCACGGTAGATGCTCTGTTCATTGCGCCTGTGAAATTGACATAAGCTTGCGCGCACTATCGTACCCCAGGGCAGTGATAATGAAACCAATTTCAGATGTTGAGCAGGACCTCACCTTCTCAGAAGGCTCCACCCTCCCCCATAGGCATGCAACCTATGTGCACGTTGTCAGATATCGCACCCCCTCCTGCACTGGCAACGCTTTGCCATCACTCCCCACGTGGCGTGGTCACGATTGGAGGATGTTTGCGTACACCGTGCGTACAAGCTCACCAGTTTGAAGCATATCCCTATCCCTATGTTTGGCATCACCTTACCTCATTACCGATCTTAAGGATTCCCTCAGTTTCTGAGGGCCTGTCCCTAAGATTGTCATCGCTTTTCGCTTGCCCATCTCAAGGGATGGGGATCAGCTCGAGGCTGGTTACAAGCAGAAGGATGTTTTCCCCCCGGCGGAATGCGCTGCGCCCCGGCGCCTACTCCCAGCCTCCGCGCGCGGCCACCCTCACGGGCGAACTGGGCGCCGCCCTCCGCCTGGCCTCGCCTCCTGCGCCCCGCCGGGGCTCGCTTCGATGCCTCCGCCTCGATTCGGTTCGATTTCGATGGCTGCCGATTCCGATTCGACCCGACTTCGGGTTTCGATCTGGATTCCGATCTCCCAGTGGAGGCCCACCACTGGCGTGCCGATTTCCTCCGGTTCGACTCCTCCCGACTCGGTTGCCGCTTTCCGCCGATCCGAGTCATTTCGATGGCCGGTCCGACTGATTCGGCGACTTGGATCCGTCACGTGATGCGAATCGGAGGAGGAGGAGATGAAAAGAAGGGAGAGGAGGGGGATTCGGTGGGGCGAGGGGAACTTCCCATCACGTGACGAAATCCCCCTCCCTACTTCTCCATGCGATGCTGGGCCCTCCTGCACCCCGCGCGCCAGGCGACGTCTTCCTCTACGCCACCCGCCCGTGAGAGCTCTCCGGCGGGGCGCATCGCCCGCCCGCCAAACGCGGCCCGCGGCATCGGCGACGCCCCCCACGCCGCGCGGCGTCCGTCGACGGTGCTCGGTGGCGCCGCCGACGGCGGCGACGATGGCGGCGACGGCGGTCTGCGCAGGCGGCGTCGACGCCGATGGGGCCCACCCGGGCGGCGGGTGCGACGACGACGAGGCCAGGCGTCGCCCAGCGGAGGCGTCCAAGGGGAGGAGGAGGAGGAAGAGGAGGAGGAGGAGGAGGAGGAGGAGGAATGGAGGAGGACGGTTGGAGGGATGGGGTGGAGGGTGGAGGGAGGGGGCAGGATGGAGGGGATAGAGGGGGTGAGGGCAGGGGCAGCAGACAGCGCCCGAGATGCCATCGCCCGCCTCCTCCTCCTTCTCCCAGTGTCCACTTGGATCCCGTCGATCCGATTCGACACCGATTCCGGCCTGGGTCGGGCGACGGGCTGGCGTTCAGAACGGGGGGTGGGGAGGGTCGAAAGCTGCTGCACGCCGCCGGTTTCGGCCCCGCCGCAGGCGCAGCCCTCGATCACACGGGCGCCGCCAAGCGCTGGGGGGGGGGGGGGGCGCCCGGGAAGACCAGCTGCGCGAGCTGGCTCGCCAGCGCGAGCCGTGATGCGCCTGGGGCGGGGGGGGGGGGGCGTGCCCGTCGCGGGCGTGATCTCGATGGATGCGAGCAAGCATTGGCTACCACTCCCCCTCCTCGGGTGTTGCCGAAGATGTCCTCTGGCTCCCCTGTGCGCCCAGAGTCTGACCCCAATTGGGATCCTCTGCAGGTCCCCCCAGGGCGTGGGGGGTGCTCCAGATGCCGCCTCGGAAATCCTTGAGAAACCTTGAGCGAGGAGCAGTTCCACAGACGTGCGATGTCTGTTTTTACTTTCAGTGCGGGGTCCCTGGGAGTCACAGCCCGTTCCCCAGCACCCGTTTGTCCCGTTCGACAAATCCCGGGCCCCCCGCAGGCCGTACACGGCCAACACACCCCGTCGTGAGTTTTCACGGCCCGAGCATGTCTGGTTTTGGCAACGCCTTCGGTAGAGGCCCCCTAGATGGGGTCCGAGTAGATGGGGTCGGAGGATTGCACCGGATCGCCAGACACTGCATCGGCGACGTCGGCGATTCATCGGCGACGTCGGCGTGGGGAAACACGGGCTCCACCATCGCCGGTGCATCGGTGATGCGGCGCGATCCTCCGATCCCATCTACTCGGACCCCATCTAGGAGGCCTGGACTGGGGGAACCAATATATATATATATATATATATCAGAGTGAGGGGGCCGAACGGTCATTCACTGTCCCTGGGTGCGTGGCTGAAGTGGGATACCGCGGTGCGGATTCGTGTTGTTGTTGTTTGTTTGTTTGTTTGTTTGTTTGTTTGTTTGTTTGTTTGTTGTTGGTGTTGTTGTTGTTGTTGTTGTTGTTGTTGTTGGTGTTGGTGTTGGTGTTGTTGTTGGTGGTGTTGTTGTTGTTGGTGTTGTTGGTGTTGGTCTTGTTGTTGTTGTTGGTGTTGGTGTTGTTGTTGCTGTTGCTGTTGTTGTTGTTGTTGTTGTTGTTGCTGCTGCTGCTGCTGCTGTTGTTGTTGTTGTTGTTGTTGTTCTTGTTGTTGTTGTTGTTGTTGTTGTTGTTGTTGTTTGTTGTCGTCGTCCCACCCGCGACCCACCCGCGACCCACTGGCGACCCACCCCGCGACCCACCCGCGACCCACCCGCGACCCACCCGCGACCCACCCGCGACCCACCCCGCGACCCACCCCGCGACCCATCCCGCGACCCACCCCGCGACCCATCCCGCGACCCACCCCGCGACCCACCCGCGACCCACCCCACGACCCACCCCGCGACCCACCGGCGACCCACCCGCGACCCACCCGCGACCCACCCCGCGACTACCCCGCGACCCACCCGCGACCCACCCGCGACCCAAACCACGTTCAAGGTACAAACCAACATTTTCGGCGCCTGCGGCGGGCTTTTTTTGCATTCCTTCCAGGTGGAGAGCCCGCGACCCACCCCGCGACCAACTCGCGACCAACCCGCGACCCAAACCACGTTCAGGGTACAAACCACATTTTTCGGCGCCTGCGGCGGGCATCTTTTGCATTCGTTCTAGGTGGAGAGACCGCAGCCCACCCGCGACCACGTTCAGGGTACAAACCAAATTTTTCGGCGCCTGCGGCGGGCATCTTTTGCATTCGTTCCTGGTGGAGAACCCGCGGCCCACCAGCGACCCAAACCACGTTCAGTGTACAAACCAATTTTTTCGGCGCCTGCGGCGGGCTGCTTTTGCAGGAGGACGAGGAGGAGGAGGAGGAGGAGGAAGAGGAGGAGGAGGAGGAGGAGAAGGAGGAGGGGGAGGAAGGGGACGACGACGACGACGACGTCGACGACGACGACAAAAAGGAGGAGGGGGGAGGATCGGGAGGGGGGGAAGAGGAGGAGGACGACGAGGAGGAACATGACGACAATGGGAGGACGATGATGGAAGGACGAGGGGGGGAGAGGGAGGACGAGGAAGAAGAGGAGGAGGAGGAGGACGAGGTGGAGGAGGAGGACGACGATGACGATGAGGACGAGGACGAGGACGAGGAAGAGGAGGAGGAGGAGGAGGAGGAGGAGGCGGAGGAGGAGGAGGAGGAGGAGGAGGAGGAGGAGGAGGGAGAGAAGGACAGCGCCATCGACAGGGAAGGTGGGGGCCACGAGGTCCGCCGGCTTGACGACGCCCGCGTCGCCCGCGCCCGCCCCCTCACTCTTATCCGCAATTGCGGGGTGCTATATATATATATATATATATATATATATTCCCATATCGCTACTCCGCAGAGCTATCCCAGGGTGTGTTCTGCCCAGCAGTGTCGAAGAGAATCGAGCCGTGGCGACGAGGGTCTCCCGGGAGGCTCCAGGAGGCAGAGACGAGGGAAGAGTAGCAGTACTGGTACCTCTTCCCCCTCTGACGCTCAGCTTTCGTCCGACCCGGTTGTCTCAGGAAAAGAAACACACAGACATAATGAATCTTCGATTTCCAAAAAAATATGGGAAAGTATGGGAAGTGGGCGGGAAGACAGAAACCCAGAATATATATGAAAATATGAGGAATATTTTTATTTGTGTGTATTTATTTGTGTGTCCCATCATTGTCGTCCACGGCGCTCCCGCCAGCGACGTCGTCGTCGTTGTCGACGTCGTCGTCGTCGACGTCGACATCGACATGGTCGTCGCCGCCGCCGCGTCGTTGTCGCCGCCGTCGCGCTGGCGTCCGACCCGATCGTCGTCCGTCTCCTTCTCCAAGGGCGCCCTCGAGGGCGCGAAGTTATTCGCGCTTCGCGGTTCGGCTCGGATTCCTCCTCGTCCTTCTCTTCTCTCCTGGGAGGCGGCGCGAGAGCGCGAAGTTTGTCGCACTTCGCGCTTCGCGCAGCGCGAAGCGCGAAGTTGGGAGCCCTTGTTCTCTTGGGGGTAGTCTGCCGTCCTGGATCCGATTTTGATGTTTCATGGGCACGATCATGGCCCCTGGAGGCCAAAGTCTGAAGAAACAACGGGGCTGAAACAATCATACCGTCGGAGACCTGGGGGGATCTGCTTTCACGAAACAGTTACAACATCGTAAAAAGTGGCCGCAGCCCCTGATCCCATCTGCCTGCTGCAAATTCGAGCCGATCGATCCCGTGGTGAAAGCATTAGGACGCCAGGGTCTCAGAATCTAGGAGAAAACCCAGGATGGAAATCATCATCCCTCCCAAAGATCCGGGTTTTTCGTCCCGCCCGAGCGTCATCCGTGTCGTCGGCATCGTCGCCGTCGGCGGCGTCGTCACCGTCGCCGACAACGTCGTCCTCGTCGTGGCCGTCGCCCTCGACTTCGACGTCGACTTCGCGGACGTCTTCGTCGTCGTCGTCGTGGACGCCGTGGTCGTGGACGTCGTCGCAGACGTCGTCGACGTCGTGGTCGTCGTCGTGGACGTCGTGGTCGTCGACGCCGTCGACGTCGTCGACGTCGACGTCGTGGTAGTCGCCGGTGGCGGGGGGCCTCCGAGGGAGCGCGCCGCCCGCGCCTCGGCGCACGCCTGCGGCTCCTCGGCGCCGCGGGGCGGGGCGCGCTCTGCGCGGCGGAGCGATGCGACGACGACGACGACGACGGCGACGACGACGACGACGACAACGGACGACGAGGACGCGGACGACGACGACGACGACGACGACGATGAGGTCGATGACGACGACGAACACGACGACGACGACGACGACAACGACGACGACGACGACGAACACGACGACGACGACGAACACGACGACGACGACGACAACGACGACGACTACGGCGGGGGAGGGAGCGGGGAGGTATCGGCGCCGAGGCGGGCGGGTGGAGCGACGGGCCGCGCCTCCCCGGGCAGGCTCGCGCCCCGAAGAGATCCTTTGCATCGCTCGGGCGTGCGCATGTTTTCGCGGCGAGGACCATCGGGGAGCCTTTCGGGCCATCATGCCAGAAAATGCACGCACGAGGCCGAAACATGCACGGGTAATGGACGTCCCAGCGATGGCGAGGGTCCATGCTCCCGTGCTGGGAAATACTTTCCAGGTGTCTAATACATGTTTCAAGCATGTCTTAAATATGTATAAAATGCGTGGCTGAAGCGCTTTTTACCTAACAGCGAAGACTGATAGGTTTCTAGTGGTCTCAAAAGAGCTCACAGATCACTCCACAGGGGGGTCCGGGCAGGTGTTGGGGCGTTTCCGGGCGGCATGAGCCGGGCTCGTTTTTCACCAACAGTCACACACTTCGTGCTCTTCGCCTTCCCAGAACTCCATTCCCAGGCCACATTCTGGGGGGCCGGATGCAACTGTAGGCCACTTCGTGCTCTTCGACATCCCAGAACGCCATTCCCGGGCCACATTCTGGGGGGCCGGATGCAACTGTAGGCCACTTCGTGCTCTTCGACATCCCAGAACGCCATTCCCGGGCCACATTCTGGATGCCCGGAGCCAACTGTAGGCCACTTCGTGTTCTTCCATTTCCCAGAACTCCATTCCCGGGCCACATTTTGGATGCCCGGAGCCAACTGTAAGCCACTTCGTGCTCTTCGAGTTCCCAGAACTCC